TATGCTCAGAAAATAGTGCCAAATTATAAGTCGTTTTGACTTTTTTGGTACATTCATTTTGCTATGCATCTAGATATAATATTATGTCTAGACACATAGCAAAATGGATGAATCAAAAAAGTAGGTAGAACAGATTATTATCATGAAAATAGTGCAGTGACCCCAATAAACTTTGGCATAAATATTTGTTTCACACAACTGGAGTGTTAAGCTGATCTTTTAAAAGTCATATCTTCAGGTGGTTGTGTTGCTACTTGATTTTGTATTTTTTTCATGACATTTATTTTACGGTACTGATTTATGCAAGTTTCATTTCAGCAACCTGATGAAACCAAACAATCTACTTTGAAAATGTCACAGGAGATGATAAGATATTTTTTCTTCATGATAAGTGTGAATGTATGGTCTCTTAAAAAGTGCTCCCTACAATACTTATGAATTTGTTATTATCTTGTTTACTCACACTGACTAACATTTTCTGAAGAAACAAGACCGTCAGAGCATCCCAAAGCTGCTGATCTGGAAACATTACCCGATAGTGAAGTGAGTATATGAATGAAATATGCTTACTTCTGGCTTCTTGCCTGATTTGTTCTATACTTATTTAGTTATGGCTTCTAGCAACATTCAACTATTTCATAACAAGAGTAACAGTTATGATTTCTGGAGCAGGTTTGAGGTGACTGGCGTGTTAGGAGTGATGATAATATGGCTGTCTTGTGCAATATAGCCAAGGAACTAAATGAAACATTTCTTACATTTCAAATCAACCATGTTTTGAGGGTAGGTCTCACATTTTCCATTGTCATTTGGCCTTGTTCACATTTACTGCTAGATTCGTGGTACAACACGTGTTAGCTAGACATTAGCATAGCATTAGTTCAGAATGGATGGAGTGGCAAATGATGATCAAGGCTGTTGCTTCCAGTTATCCCAACATCAAGTGCTAGTTAACATATTTATTCCAGAATTTCATCAATCTTTATGACCTGAAAACATCTAGGTTGACAGCTCTATAGATTTGAAAGAGTTTCCTAGTTTGATTTAGCAGTCAAGACAAGATGGTGATTTTTAGCAGCCCTCTGAATACCTCTCATGCAGGAACTCTAAATTTGATCTGTTAGCATGGCAGGCACATATATAAACTCTAGATTTCAATCGCATTTCGAGTTTTCTCCAGGACTTATTGGAAACTAATCCTTGAAAACATTGTTACTCAAAGTTGTTTGTTACATAGGAATTCAATTCGGATGCTGACGTTCAAGCTAACTTTGGAGCCCAACTTGCTGGTACGAAGCTGCTGTGATTACCTCACCTTTGAATTGCTAGCTGCAACTCTACAAAACAGATACGTGATTTGATCTCTTCCTTTGTAGAGTTGATGAAGTTCAAGAGCTGTCCGTTTGTTGAGTTGCCATTGGCAGAGAAAACAAGACTTGGGACTTGAGAGTATAGACAATTAATACTAATTGACCCAGGTGATTACATCACATGGTGCAGTTGATATTAGATATTCACATCTGTGTAATGACACATTCAGCAGAACATCCGTGTAGTGCCAATCCACTGCTGAATCCATAGTTGTTTAGCTTTATGTATGAAAGCTTATGTCTGTACAAAAGATTTTGAAGTTTGGATGCATCCAATGTTAATGTGTGCTCTCATTGTTAATTGTTTCTGAACAATTCTTGTTAATGTGTGTTCTGTCAGATTTGAATTATATATGCATATATTCTGGTCGAATTTGAATTGTAAATTTGAATTTTTTTGGCTGAAAAATATACTGTAGGGGCGGTTCTAAACTGAACCGCTCCTACAAATAGGTATTATAGAGGCGGCTGTTACTACAGCCGCCCCTACAAATCGATTAATCGATTTGTAGGGGCGGCTAATAACACCAGTCGCCTCTACAAATCGATTTGTAAGGGTGGTCTGGAAACCGCCCCTACAAATGCATGATTTGTAGAGATGGTATGGTAGGGGCGGCTGGCCGAGCCGTCTCTACAAACCATCGCCAGCCGCCCCTACAAATGCTTATTGTAGTAGTGAATGTCTTCTCAATCATGTTATCATGTAATCTCAGCACCAGCATTCTTATTCCATCACATCGTGAGGACATGGTATGAGCTGGCCCCAAAGGAATGTCCACTTGCAAGTACTTTCAGGTACAAAACTTCATGGTCTGGGAGAACTTTCATGTCTTCCATCACATATTCATAGTTGCTTAGCTCCCCCTGTGTTTGTAGAACAATAAAAAATGGATCATATAAGACTGTTGCAAAGAGAAAAAACATCTTATTAGCAATATAAAATATTTCTAAAAGAGTAGACAATGAACAATCTGTGAAACTGTTTCTATTTTCATCCTCTTGTTAGCACCAGGTTCAATCGGTGCTTCGGTTGAATGTCTTAGTGCCAAAGGCATGGATGATTCAAGATTACCATCTAGAGAACATTTGGCCAAGTCTTATATCAGCACTACACATACTTACATATATAGTGATTTCTATTGAGGTCTTTGGTCAGTACCAATGTTGTTAGAGCTGAGCTGTTACCCTTAGTGAACTGCACAAATAGTTTTTGTTCGTCAGCTCCATTTTCGGGTTGCATTTTAGAAAAAAGCCAAAACAGGCTTGGTTGGCTATTCCCGTATGCTTGCTTGGCTACGTAACAAGTCAACGTTTTTGTCACTTAACTAGTAATGAGTAATCACGTTGTATTTCTAGGGTTGGTTGGCGGGTCGTTGACCTGTTGGTTTAAATCTCTTAGCATACCGCTCGCATGTTTTGTACTTGCTTCCCTCTTAATTAATATGCATGCTAGCGCCTGAGCGTCCAGACGGACGCCCGCATCTGGATGCCAGCGCCTACTTCCACTCGCTCTCTCCCTCGCGCTCGACTGGCCCTCCACCGCTGGCCTCCTCTCTGCCCTCTCTTCCCTGTGCCCGACAGCCCCTCAACCGCTGGCCGCCGCCCTGCAGTAGCGTCTCGCCGGAGCTCTGCCGCCGCGGCCGCGGCAGCGGAGCTCTAGCGAGACCCTACAACACTGGTGGTGTCCTCCTCCTTCCCCTCCCCCCTCCTGCCGCCACCATGGCCATGGGCACGCCATACTGGAAAAATAGATGAGTAGATCATTTTTTTAGAACTAGATGGGTCGATCGTGGAGGCAGCTCAGGCAGGGTTGAACAATATTATGCGAGCAATCGTGAGCGACTATTAAACAAGCACTACCGAAAACCCTTAGTTTGCCGAGTGCAAGAATCTTTGCTGAGTGCATTATATCGGACACTCGGCAAAGAAGCTCTTTGCCGAGTGCTACCACAAAAACACTCGGCAAAATAATTGCACTTGGCAAAAGAGGTAAAAAACACTCGGCAAAGTTTGGCACTCAGCAAACGAGAACAAAAACACTCGGCAAAAGATAGGCACTCGGCAAAGTCCACATCCGTTACTACGTGTGCCGTCGGAAGGAAAAGAAGAAAAAAAATCATTTGCTGAGTGTCCCGATCCGACACTCGGCAAACTCGGATTTGCCGAGTGTCAGATCTCGAACACTCGGTAAACACATCGCGGCCTCCACGTCGTCGATCCGCGGCACCAATTCCTCCGCCAATCAGAGACCGCTGCTCCATTCTATAAGAAATTCCCCATCCACAAATCAATGTGTCGCCAGACGGCAGGGCGGCGCCGGTGTACGCCTTCTCCTTCTCCGGCCCGCGGGTGGGGAACACGCGGTTCAAGGCGCGGCTGGAGCGGGAGCTGGGCGTGTACGTGCACGTCGGCGCGGATCTGGCGCTGGACCACAGGGTGTCGCCGTACCTCAAGGCGGAAACGCTGGACCTGGTGTGCTTCCACAACCTGGAGGCGCACCTGCACCTGCTAGACGGCTACCAGGGCCGCGGCCGGGAGTTCAGGCTGGAGGCGCACCTGCACCTGCTGGCACGGGCACGGCATCGATGTTCACGATGTGCTCCTCAGCAGGCCGAAGGTGCTCCGGGATGCGGCGCGCGGCCGGCCGGCGGCTCGGGACGGGGTGGCGCAGCTCTACGCGGCTCGCTGGCTTCCGCGACAACGCATGCAACTCCTCCCAGCACGCACACGCGCAACGCCGCGCGGGCGAGCGGCCGGAGCGAGCAGAATGCCTTGCTAGCTTGATGACATCACCGTGAAGTCATGCTCACACATTATACAACCATTTTCGTTTAGAAAAATAAATTCAGAAAAACTTTAGAAATACACTTCTACAGTCCTCTCTGATGTTTGCCGAGTGTTTTTCGCGTGGACACTCGGCAAACATGGCATCTTTGCCGAGTGCCCGTGCCGTTAGACACTCGGTAAACGCGCTGTGACCGTTTTCTCGCCGTCACGTTACTTTTTTTTTGCCGAGCGTCGGACTTTGCCGAGTGCACGATAAAAAACACTCGGCAAAGAAACTTTTGCCGTCACAGTGTACGCCGTGTGCTGATTGACGAGTGTAACACTCGACAAATTCTTTGCTGAATGTTTTTTTAGACTTCGCCGTGTGCCTTGGACACACGGCAAAGCTCCTGTTTACGGTAGTGAAGGCATCCAAACGTGCCGTTAGTATGTGCGTAATTTGAAAACTCAGGGCTACCACTACCACCTACCTTTAGAGAGGGTCTCACATGAACCGGCATCGTGCCGATCAGAATCCATTTGCGATGATTTCGACAGCACATCTCGCATTCGCTACCAAAAGCAAGCAAGTTCAGTACAGTCACAGTATACACGCTCTAAGATCCAGGGATCACAAAAATGACTCGAGTATTCATCCATCTTTTGTCTTACCGACAAAGTTTAGGTGCACCGCCGACAAATTCTCTAATCAAATGTTTCAATGTAATTCAGTTCAGTCTGCAGAAACCGTTCCGAATATTTCTTTGGGGTGTTAAGTGCGCAGTTGCAAGCTGCAAATTTGCAATGCTTAGAACGGAAATCACAAGTACACAGCAACAAAAGAGGACCGGAGTCCACTGGCAATCAGATGATCGGCGGCGGCGGCGTCTCCCAGACGTCGAACACGTTCTCCTCGTTGTGCAGGGCGAAGAGCCAGTCGCCGCCGATGGAGAAGTCGCAGATGGCGCCGCCGTGGCTCCGCCGGAGCGTCGACGTCAGCACGTACTCGGGCCCGCTGAACACGGAGATGCTGTCGTTGATCGACGAGAAGAGCTGGCCGCCGTGCGTGGCGAGCTTCGGGTAGCAGCTCTCCTCGCTGGGCACCTTCCGATTCATCAGCTTGCTCCGGGAGATGCACCTCACACCGCCGGCGCCGCTCCGGAGGTCGAGGAAGCCGAGGTCGTCGTACTGGTTGATCACGCAGACGGAGCGCTCGTCCTCCATGGCGATGGCATGGAGCATGCGCTTGTCGTCCGACCAGGACCAGAACACGTTCTTGGCCCGGAAGTCCAGCAGGCCGATGAAACAGTTGTCCGCCTTGGGGAACAGCGTGGCCACCATGAGCGCGTTGGTGGCGTCCAGCCACTGTAGCTTATCGGCGTCGCCCAGGGCGCACCCGGGTTGCTCATAGAAGAAGTCGGCCTGCTCGCCGGTGACGCGGTCCCAGACGCCGATGCCGCACTCGTTGAGCCGGCCCTTGCAGCTGGCGAAGATTCTCGTGTCCTGGTCGAAGGCCAGCGCGCCGGCGGTGAAGGACTTGACCTGGTGGTCATACTCGATGCGGAAGCGGTGGCGGAGCTCGCCGGAGACCGCAGAGAAGGCTGCCATGCTGCCGTCGCGCTTGCCGAGGCTTGATCAGGAGCGTGGCGGCGTCGAGGTAGGCCGCGTCATTGACCTGCGAGTGGTCGAGCGACACCGGGCGGCGCTCGTCGCGCATCCAGTTGTACACGCGCACGGCACCGCCGCGCGCGACGCAGCACCCGCCGTCGGGCGCCGCACGGATGGCCGTGCCGTCCCCGGGCGCGCGGACGAGGCGAGGCGGAGGCGGTCGCCGTCGAACGCGCCCCACCGGGCGGCGCGCACGTGGTCGAGTATGCCGTAGTAGAGCGCCTCGTGGTACAGCAGCTTCTCCGGGAGGTGCGGGGGCACGTGGAGGCTGCCCGTGCGGAGCAGGTCCAGCAGCACCGCGAAGCAGGCCGGGTTGCGGTCGATGAAGTACTCAGCCACTTCGCCGCCCGAGGGGGAGGAGGAGACGTTCGAGGAGGAGTCGAGTAGCGCGCGTGATGGTGGTCGTCTCGAACACCTGCCCGCCCACGTTGAACCGCACGGCGCGGGTCTCGGGCGTTCCGAAACCCCGCCGGAGCGGTCGGTCGGCCTTCGTGCTCCGGCGTCCGACCTGAATGAAGTCAAGCCTGCCTCTCCAATCATCGGCGCCGGCGAATCTTCCGGCTTCGTTTCGCGCGCTTCTTTTCTAATCCCGCCGCTGACCTGACCGTGTGTCCGTGTCCCTGCCTCCTTTTCCTCACTCCTGTCCTGCTCATTCGCGGTCGCGGGGTAGCCTTGTGCTTGTCGGTCGAGGAGGTTGGGTGCTAATGGCGCACCGCGAAACGCTTCTGTGGTTCAAGATGATGCTTGGATGGATTCGATTCGTGTGCAATGCTCACAGCTCGGACACGCCCGTACATATACCCGAAAAAACACGTCACGCAGATTGACAGTCACGGTACGGTAGAACACCAAACCAGTACGGCTCGCGCGCTGCGCGCCCCAGGCGCGGTTCATCAAGGAATCTCTCCCCCATATCGCAAGCTCAACAAATGCTTATGGGGCATATAGAATCAAGAAATCCCTATACATAACCCCAGGTGCAAAATCAGATAATAGTTTAAATATTGAACTACTCCTTTCGTTAAAAAAAACTGAAAATCTTATTTTTCAATGAGTCAAACTTTTCAAAGTTGGCATAATAAGTATTATTAATTTAATACTACAATATATTTTCACAATAAACATGTAAGGAGATACATTTCTTCACTATTTTCTATAAATCTATTCAAACTTAAGAAAAATGAGATATTCATTAAATTTTTTATAAATCTAGTCAAACTTTAAAAATAAATGACTCCTCAACAACTGAGATATAGGACAGAAGGATAAGATTCAGTAAAAATTGCAACCCTAAGTTGAGCTACGGATTACTAAAATCCAGAAACAGCTTCTAGTTAGAATATGAGAGTAGCATAAAAATAACCAGTAATAATAGGTTAGATGCTTGAATACCCAGTGGGGAGGGGCAATCAGGCAATATTCACTACCGGAAACAGTAGGTATGCCGAGTGCCTGAGGGTTTGTCGAGTGCATTCCATCGGGCACTCGGCAAACCTGCTGTGTGCCGAGTGCCTCCGTGGAAACATTCAGCAAACATATTGCACTCGGCAAAAACCCTCTTTGTCGAGTGCCTTAAAGTAAACACTCGGCAAATATCAGACACTCGGCAATATAGCAGCACGTGCGCCGGCCGTGCAACGGCCGCCAGCTTGAGTGCCCTGCCGTTAGCACTTTGCCGAGTGTCCGTTAGTGACACTCGGCAAAGACATTATTTGCCGATTGTTTTTTGTTGGCTCTCGGCAAAGACATTATTTGCCGAGTGTTTTTTGTTGGCTCTCGGCAAAATCTAAAGTTTTTTCCTTCTGCTGCCCTAAAAAAATTTTCTACTCTCTACATACAACAAGTGGTACTCCATGTTAAGATTTGGTATATTTATGGATCCGTTTGCTATATTTAATTAATTTATTGCTTTTCAAGGATTTTTTTGGTATAAGTCAAATTTGAACAGCAAGTGATTCAAATAATAGAATAAAATGAGTAGAAAAATGATATTCATGTTATTGAGTCCGGTGTTAGGCCTTACCCAGGACATGAAAAGAAATTTCGAACATCTTGTTCAGGAAACAAGACAATGAGTGTGTGGCCGAATGGTTTTTAAATTCTAAAAAAGGAAATGAAGTATGAAAATCATGAGATTTGTCAAGATCTCGTGATATCATACGTGGAGGCCATTGTAAAAATTTGAGAAGGTTTCGGACAATCTGTCACGTACAATGTTTACAAACCGAAGTATCTCAGAAGAAGAATCGTAGCGTTGAGAAGGATTCGGTAAGGTTTTGAGTCAAAGTGACGGTCGAATTGGGGTTTGACTTCCAAACTTTTTGTATAGGCAATAGAGAACATAGATTGATTCATGGGTAATTTTGGTAATATTTTGGATTCGTTTGATAATTTTAATTTATTAAGTGCAATTATAGAATTTTAATTGATATACATTGAATTTGAGCGACAAACTGCATGAAATAATAAGTCTTTTTTTCACTTCTGGCCTTGAAACTTTTTCTACTGTCCACATACAACATTTGGTACTCCATGTTAACATTTGGTATATTTCTGGATCTATTTGCTATATTTAATTAATTTATTGCTTTTCAAGGAATTTTTTGGTATAAGTCAAATTTGAACCGCAAGTGATTCAAATAATATAATAAAATGAGTAGAAAAATAATATTCATGTTATTGAGTCCTGTGTGAGGCCTTATCCGGGACATGAAAAGAAATTTCGAACATCTTGTTCAGGAAACACGACAACAAACGTGTGGCCGAATGGTTTTTAAATTCTAGAAAAAGCAAACCAAGTCTGAAAATCATGAGATTTGTCAAGATCTCGTGATATCATACGTGGAGGCCATGGTAAAAAACTGAGAAGATTTTGGATAATCTGTCACGTACAATGTTTACAAACCGAAGTATCTCAGACGAAGAATCGTAGCGTTGAGAAGGATTCGGCACGGTTTGGAGTCAAAGTGACGGTCGAATTGGGGTTTGACTTCAAATTTTTTTGTATAGGCAATAGAGAACATAGATTGATTCATGTGTAATTTTGGTAATATTTTGGATTGGTTTGATAATTTTAATGTATTAAGTGCAATTATAGAATTTTAATTGATATACATTGAATTTTAGCGACAAACTACATGAAATAATAAGTTTTTTTTCACTTCTGGCCTTGAAACTTTTTCTATTGTCCACATACAACATGTGGTACTCCATGTTAAAATTTGGTATATTTCTGGATCCGTTTGCTATATTTAATTAATTTATTTCTTTTCAAGGATTTTTTTGGTATAAGTCAAATTTGAATTTCAGCGAATTACATTCGTAGAAAAATTAAATATATATTGTTGAGTGAATTAGACAAGGTATTTTCAAAGTTCATCAAAAGAAATTGAGAAAAACACGCTATGGAGAAGAAGGAAAAGAAGGAAAGAAAATGAAAAAAAAACAATGTTTGCCGAGTGCCTCCAATATTGCACTCGGCAAAGCTGGCTTTGCCGAGTGTCCTGATCTGACACTCGGCATACCCGGATTTGCCGAGTGCCAGATCGTGGGCACTCGGCAAACATTGTTTTTTTTCATTTTCCTTCCTTCTTTTCCTTTTCTCCATAACGTGTCTCACATCTAGCAAAACGGCTCCCAAACACTCAAACACTCACGCACACACGCCACGCCGCCTGCCTCCCGCATCCGCACCCCGCCGCCGGCCTCCCGCACCCCGCTGCCGGCCCCGTGCCCACGCCCGAGCCACTGTCCTCCCGCACTGCCGCCGGCCCCGTGCCCGCGCCTGAGCCACCATCCTCCCACGCCCCCGTCCCCGGCTCCCGGCCCTCGGCGCTCGTGCTCCCGCCGCCGGTGCATAGCCCCCGTTGCCCGGCGGCCGGCCTCCCGGCCCCCGGCACGCGCGGCCCCCGGCGCCCGGCACTCCGCCCCCGACCAAAGGGCCCTGGACCGCCGTCCTCCCGCGCCCCCACCCCCGGCGCCCGGCCCTGGGTGCCCGTGCTCCCTCCGCCGGCGCGCAGCCCCCGTTGCCCGGCGCCCCACCCCCGGCGGCCGGCCTCCTGCTCCCCGGCGCGCGCCCTGCCGCTCCCGTTCCCCGGCGCTACTGTTGTTGTTTTTATTTGGATAACTGCGGCTATAATACTATGGATTGTAGGTTAGTGTTGGACAATCCAACGACTGAGTCACTGACATCAATAGAAACTGTTGCTCGTTAATTTGCACAGTCGCGGATCTGTTAAGTAGAGTACCTTTCCTGTGTATCTTGGAAGGACAGCTAGAGAGGGAAATGTACTGCCGCTGCAAGTATTCAGAGTTTAGCTGTCATCTTTACTTGACATCATCACTTGAATTAGTGTCCACCACCTGGCCTCCCAGCTTAATTTATTAAATTAAAGTAATGATCGTATGCTAAGGAATAGGGAACACAAATGCGAATTTCATGATTTTAAATTGCTAGCAGAATCAAAATTTTGAGGTGGTTGCATCAGCAGTTATAATCTTGGAGTTTGGTCACACAGATTCGGATGGGGCTGCCGAAATTTACAATTGACACTATTATGTTCGTTTGTTGCAGGAGAGGCTATTGCAAGGATCATTCCCCTATGTCCTCGAGTCATCACTTTGCAGGACAGTAATGTGAGGCATCTTACACCCCTTTTTCCATATCATGTTCGTATATCACGTAACCTAGCTAGGCGTCTTCCGTTCGAAAGAGATATGGTTGGAAATATACAGATCTTTGCATATCTATAACCATATCTGTTTCGAATTATCCACATTTTTTGGACAGCCCGAGGATGTGTAGATCGGGTTAGTTTCCATGCTCTATTCGGATCTGAGACAGAGTTTCAGCAGCATCTCCCTATTGTTCTCCGGATACACAATCTCCCTGCCAGGATGTGTATTTGGAGAATAGCGGGGAGGTGCTGCCGAAATTCTGTCTCGGATAGGAGTAGAGCATGGAAACTAACACTATCTACACATCTTCGGGTGGGATTATGACCTATCTTCACCTATTAGACAGTATAGGAACCTGTAGATGCAATTAATTTTTATATTACTTGCTGATATGTTAGAGGATTGATGACCGTGAGTGGATGTACACGGGCCGCTCTAGTCAGGGTTTGTTCACCGATGAATGGATTGAGAAGACCAATGTTTCTTGGAACTAGCATTTGCAAGGGTTAAAGGAGCGTGTGCCACTTGGTGTCCCTGCAGCATTTGTGTGAACACGTGTCGACAAACAAATGTGGTCATGGGTAAACATCTTTGCAAGAATGGATTTACGTCGGACTATACCCGGTGATCTACCATAGTGAATCCGATCGTGTGAGTGACGAGGTCGTGAGACAACGCATCGAGGATTATGATGTTGATGCCGGGGTAGGAGACATGTTAAATGACTATCATGAAGCACACTTCGATGAAGGACATAGGGAGGAGGAGCCAGAGCCAACCACAAAGGCGTATTACGATATGTTGTCTACGGCACAACAACCCCTTCACGGGCATGCCAAGGTTTCTCAACTTGATGCCATTGCACGCCTAATGGCCGTAAAGTCCCAATTTAGCTTGAGTCGAGAAGCCTTCGATGTTATGCTGAAAGTTGTTGGTAGGCTGCTCCCGGATGGTCACATCCTGCCAAAGAGCATGTATGAGGCACATAAACTCCTTCATGCACTTAAGATGCTATATGAGCAGATACGTGCTTGCCCGAAGGAATGCATCTTATTTAGGAAAGAACATGCGGAAGCAAAGTACTATATGAAGTGTAAATCGTTTAGGTTTCTAGGTAGACTCTGGTGATGGCCAGAAGAGGTAGCTCGCTGTCCCCGTGAAGATCCTACGGTACCTTCCATTCATACCGAGGATCCAACGGCTTTATATGACTGAGGAATCCGCGAAACAGATGACATGGCACAAATACGGACGTCGATACAATCCTAAGAAGCTGGTGCATCCATCCGATGGTGGAGTATGTTTTGTTTATTTTGCATCTATTTTAATATATTATCTGTGCTAATTGGTTTACTCTTTCTAATTGCAGGTGATTGAACAATGGTGGGCAGTATGAGGAGGATAACGTCGCTTTACTCAAAAGCGACAGCGACGCGTAAAGGGTCCGATGCAACTGAGGGGTCTAGGAAGAGACCTTGGGGTAGACCCAAGGGTCGAGGGAAGGGTGGAGGCAAGACAAGGCCACCGTCGCCTATACCTTCGTTGCCGTCGGAGTTACCTTCCACTCACTCATCCTCTGAGGAGGAGGAGGTACAGGTGGAGGAGGAGGCAGGGGTGGAGGAGGAGGAGGTAGGGGTGGAGGAGGAGGCAGGGATGGAGGAGGAGACAGGGGGTACCTCTTCCTCTACTTCATTGCTTGTGTGGTTGCGAGGTCCCTCGACCCTCCCGAGGCGACCGATACCTCTTGAGAGACGCCCGTTGATTCGACCCGATGGAGACAAGTAAGTAACTTTATATGTTATCACTAATTTTTTGTTTGATATGTTCAAAATTACAATAGAAACTAATAATTTATCTTAATCACTTGGGCAGGGGTTGGAGGAACATCGGTGGGGGTGATCACGCATGCCATGTGAACGACATCCTTGGTCTTTTGATAAAGGAAAAGTTCCCTGGCCTGGTGCAGTTCAACGGAACTGTCGAGCCGGCCTACGCGTGGGCCCACTATGCCGCCGTCCCCGACACCCCTGATCGGGATGGCAGGGTATTCGTCGACAAGGTGCTGCATGTCAAGGCCGAGCTTTGGGTAAGTCTTTCTCGCACTACATTGCTCAATACATCGCATTGATTGGACATTCTTGAAATAATGACTGAATACATCGCGTCTATATGCAGGATTTCTTTAGATGCGAGGAGAGATACGAGGCCAAGGCGGATGCTGTGGTGGACAAAGACGCCAAGAAACTCATCAAGGACATGCACTACGAGGCGCGCATCTAGGTCGTTATCCAATACCACGTAGAATTTCTTAGAGAGAGGATCCCTAAAAGGGCGGCAAGAACCTTGAGCCTCACCCTGGAACAATACCTGAAGGTAAATATAGAACATTAATACTTATTTTTTCTAAGATTAATTACGCTTAATTTTATCTTCTTATATGTCATATACTTGATGACGTATGTGCCTCCATGGTGGTGCGCCTATGATCTGCAGTGCTGGGCTCGGATGGTGGATAGGTGGTGCAACCCCGCATGGGAGGAGAATCACAACGCTTGCCGAGAGCGGCGTTTGCTGATGCCGGGTACACCACACCTTCAAGGCAACCTCAACCTCTCAGAATACGCGGCTAAATGGGTACACGAATTCATTTCTTTATTCTAACGCTCAACTCTGCATAATTTCTAATCATATTGCTTTTTTTGCAGTCGGCGGCACATGGTGGCGAGTCTTGCTCCCAGTTCATGGCATATGCTTTGGCCCACAAGGGGAAGGCGACGTACGACATCGCCTACAACCCGAGAGAACCCGCCCTTAGCGTACAACAACGAGTCTGTCCATAGTCGCCTCGATGGATACACATTGATGACAAGGTTAGTCCATGGCCCAGAGTACGATCCGAGCGCCCATGACCTTGATGGAGAAGTGGTCATGAGGGCAAGAGGAGGCAAGAAGCATGGCCGGTACTGAATTGGTGATGGCATAATCGACATGGCCAGTACTCCCACTCTCTCCCAGATTCGAGCACGGAGCACGGGTTCCAGTCCGGCGATACGCCCACGACCAGACTCTACACGGTTCTAGATGAACGCACTCCAGGTTATTTCTGTTTTATTCATCGTTCATTGATTTTTACATACTTTTGCATTGCATTGTAACATTTGGATGAAATATTGTAGGCTCAGCTGGAACAAGAAACGAGGCATCGAGAGGAGCTAGAGGCGAAGATGGAGGCAGAGCGGCAGAGGATGGAGGCAGAGCTGTAGAGGATGGAGTTGCAGATGTTTGAATATATGAGGGGTGTTTATGCTACAATCGGTCAACCTCCACCACCGTTTCTAGTCGCTCCTCCTCAACCTGCTCCAAATACTGTTTCAGGCAATGTGAGTCGCTTTACAACCTTATAATCTAGTTTATGCAGAATCAATCTTACAAAGATGCCCAGACACTAGAAACTTAGTGACTAATGCTATATGTTTGTTACCAACTAGTACTTAAGCAATAATACTAGAGCACAATGCAACTGAGAAGATATTACTAATAGTTGCAAGGGTTATACTAGTTAGGTAGCAGAGAGACCATACGTGTTGTTTAATCTTGTCTCACACATGCAATCTCTTTTCCTTTGTGCAACATCAATCAGCGGCATCGAATGAGCCTCATGACCCAGCGTTGTCGCAGTGGAACTCATGGCCTAAGTGACTACTTGTGATTTTATTTGTATTTGCATTTGTGGATTAGCTATGACTACTTGTGGTTGTGAATGAACCTACTTGTGATTCTGAAGTTTATTTGCATTTATATCTTGTCGATATATCTATATGAACTGCCTGTGATGCCTATTTTGAACTATCTGTGATGGATGTGATGTTTATTTGAATGTGGTACGTGGCTGTGACCAAACCTAATAAACTAATTATATGTGGCAGCTTTGCCGAGTGTTACACTCGGCAAAGAGGCCTTTTGCCCAGTGTCAGGTTTAAAACACTCGGCAAAGTGGACACGTGGCAAAATTCTATACATTCTAGAACTAAAATGGCTTCTTTGCCGAGTGTCTGCCCTATGACACTCGGCAAAGAAGCCAAAATTCTGTGCATTCTGCGACGTGTTTGCCGTGTGCCTAGTATTCGACACTCGGCAAAGGACGAAGGTTTGCCGAGTGCCTGGAACTTGACACACGACAAAGGAAGAAGCTTTGCCGAGTGCCCGCACTTTGACACTCGGCAAAAAAGTAAGGTTTGCCGAGTGCCTAGAAGTTGACACTCGGCAAAGAAGGAAGGTTTGCCGAGTGTCTGAGATTTGACACTCGGCAAACGCGCCGTGATCGTTTCCACTCGGTCACGTTACTTTTTTTCGCCGAGCGTCGGTTTCAACTCTTGGCAAAGTCTTTGCCGAGTGCTCGATAGAAAACACTCGGCAAAGAGCCGTTTGCCGGTACTGTAGATGCCGTGTGCTGTTTACCGAGTATTACACTCGGCAAATTCTTTGCCGAGTATTTTTTGGTCTTTGCCGAGTGACTGTGGCACACGGCAAAGCGACTGTTTCCAGTAGTGATTTTTCTTGGCAGCAGATAAGTCGAGTTAGAAGAGAACTCAGGGAAAAGAAAATGGGGCAAATCACTTTTTTTTTCTTAAAGGACAAGGGAAATCACATTAGAAACTACGAACTCAGAGTACTTTCTTTTGCTACATTCTCTTCGTAACAGGAACATATTTTTGTTTGCCAACATGTATATATAAAAAAAAGGATAACTCAAACTGCATTACGATTTAACACAAAAGCTTGAACCAAAGCAAGCATGAAATCCATTTTTGCCAGAGGTACAGCCGCTGGCAAGGAGAAACAAAATAAAGTAAAACCAAACATTACAGCTCCAATTGAGAGTTTAAGACTGCTACAACTACGTGCTGACTCCAGATGGCCAATTACCAGAGCGCTAAGCTGGTAACCGGTCCAGGGAATAATAAAAAAGCAAGCATGGCATGCCTCATGCCAACATTTTGAGACTTAAGACTGCAAAGCGCGGAACGCCCCTGAGATGATGAGCTGCATAGCTTCTGAGCAATTAATTGCGGCTCTTTCTTCTGCGCTTCTTTCTGCTAGTGGTTTTAGCAGACCCCTTCTCCTCCAACGATGACTCACCTTCATTCTCCTCTGGCTTCCTTTTGGTTGAAAGTCCATTGGTCTTGGATTCATCAACAGCTTCACTGGATTTCACTTCATCTTTTGAATTCTTGTCTTCACTGCCAGCATCATCCTTTGAGTTGTCTGTGCTATCAGCCTCATCCTTGCTGCTTGCCTTCACAACAGCATCCTTAGCCTTTCCAGTAGATCTAGAGGGCCTTGCACCTTCCTTCTTAGAGTTAATGCCAGTCTTAAGTGTTTCTTGAGTATCCTTCTCAGCACTTTTTCCCTTCAGTCTGGTTGGAGTCACAGAGCTATCAGCATTCGACATATTATTGCTGGAGCGCACGCTTTTTGGATGCCCTCTCTTCTTGGGAGGATTCTTAACATCACTGCCACTGTGCATAAAACAGTTAATTAGTTTCACATAAGCTACCGAGTGTACAATGTATCAAGATAGCACATTCATAATAGTAAACACTTACCTTTGAGGTGTTCCTGTTTTTCCTCCCTTCATTTGTTTACCTGAGCTCCCTTTAGCTTTTCTGCCACGTGGTCTGGTTTACAAGAAACAACTCATAATTTAACAACTGAAACCTTTGCATTAACACTACTGGAAATAGAGACTTTGCCGAGTGCAAAATTCTTTGCCGAGTGTCAAAAATCGGGCACTCGGCAAAGACCTTCTTTGCCGAGTGCTGCACTCGGCAAAGAATTGCACTCGGCAAAGAGTTATTTGCCGAGTGCCGGGCACTCGGCAAACAAGGGCACTCGGCAAAGGACTTCTTTGCCGAGTGTCAGACTCTCGGCAAAATCTCTACACTCGGCATAGGCTGCCCACGAAACGGTGTTCGGTCACGGCCTTCTTTGCCGAGTGCCTGCTGTTAGACACTCGGCAAAGATTTGATTTTTTAAAAAATTCTTTGCCGAGTGCCCCTGGCACGGCACTCGGCAAATATTTAATTTTTTTTATAATTTCTTTGCCGAGTGCTCCTGTGGATGCACTTGCCAAAGAGGAAATTTTTAAAAAAAAATTAAAACCCTCTTTTAAGTGCCTTATGCCCTGCACTCGGCAAAAAGACATCCTTTGCCGAAAGTGCCATGCCCCCAAGACTCAAAGTTTTTTTTGTTTTTTGTTTTTGGCCTCTAATTTTTTTGTGCAGCCCTTTTAAAAGCACCGAAACCTAGTTACAATTTGAGGATTCCTAGTTACAATTTGAGGATTTTTTTGGTTTTGATAAATTTAAGTTTGACTTTTATTTTGTTGATTTGAATTTTTTCAAAAAAAATAGAAATTTGAGCTTACAAACCGAATAATAAATTTAATGATTCAAAATGTGATAGTCATCCATGTTGAAGTCCGAAATCATGAGATATCCTAGTTTGTAAGCATCGACATCGTAAAATTTCAACATACGAAATTTCGTGAAATCTTTATCATAGCAATATCCTCCACAACGCATAATCTTCTAAAATTTTATCATAGCCTCCACATGTTATCACGACATCTCAACGAAGTTTCATGATTTTCGACTTCGCTTGTTTTTTTATAGAATTTAAAAACACTTCGCACGCAAGTTCGCGGTCATATTTCGTGAACAAGATGTCCGAAATTTCGATCCGCTCTTAGATACGGCCTCACACTACACTCCAAGAATATGACTATCATTTTTGAATCATTAAATTCTATTATTCGTACTAATGCAGCTTCAAATTTATATTTTTTCAAAAATTCAAGTAAACGTAAATAAAGTAACTAAATATATAAAAAAAGCACAAAAAGCCCCCAAATTCTAAAGGAGGAGTTCCTGGTCCTTTAAAAGGGCTGCACAAAAAACTTAGAGGCCAAAAACAAAAAAAATAAAAAAAACTTTGCCGAGTGCCAAAAAATGGCACTCGGCAAAGAGACTCTTTGCCGAGTATAAAAATAAGACACTCGGTAAAGAGGATTTTTTATTTTTTTATAGAAATTTCTTCTTTGCCGAGTGCTTTCACAGAGGCACTCGGCAAAGGAATTAAAAAAATAAAAAATTTACCGACGGCCGGATCGGAGCACTCGGCAAAGTTGCCTCCTTTGCGAGTGCCTCCCCGATCCGGCCTTCGGTAAAAAGGGCGCTGGGGGCACTTAGCGATTTCGGGCCGGGGCAGATCAAGCCTCGAACAACCACCCGACCACCATCCGCACCCACGCCGCCCGCCACCCCCCCAGCGCCCCTCCTCCCGTCCCGTCTTGCGCTATGCCCGGCCGCCCCTCAGCCCCGCCGGCCACCGGGCCGCGCCAGCCATCGGATCGTATCTCGCCGGAGCCCGCTCGAGGACCTCCGCGCAGCCCATCGCCGCATCGACCTCCTCAAGGTACACGAGTCACAAGGACTCTCTCTGCTCTCCTCCCGTTCGCTATTGATTCGTCATCTATTTCCTCTCCTTGCCCAGGCCGAAGCCGTTATGAACGCCGGCGGCCTCCGCCGCTGCGTCGAGAGCGTCGAGGAAAAGGAGGCCGTGGCGCCGCATGCGCCGACCTCTCCGACAAGAGCAGCAAGGAGTGCCGGCTTTCTGAAGGGACCTCGAAAGCGCCATGGAGTCCTCGCGACGACCTCGTCAGGCTGAACGACGATGACCTCTGCGCACGCCTAAACCAGAACGTACATGTCAGTTACCTCCTCTATTTTTTTCGATCTAATCATGCTACTAGCCTATACTGCTTGCGTGCCTCGATCTGATCTGATCTGTTTCTACTGCTATGCACTAACGAGTGCGTCTAATCGCAATTCACAAACAGCTAATGATGTCGAACCACTATAAAGTCGTTGGGATGCATACAAGCTCAGTCATTTGTTTTTATTATTCAGGCCAAAAGCATGTTTTAGAATTTTATTTAGGGATTAACCCCGGCTTAATCAGCCAAGATATATGTTTTTGATGATGTTCATCATATATAGATCTAAAAAAGGCAAGAAAGTATCTGGTTAATACATGTAGCTATCCAAATCACTTGTAGGGTAAATTAACAAATCAGTTCCAATTATAGATATCAGCACGTATCAGTACAAAGTTCAGGAACTGTTTTCTTATGTACTGTTATTAATCTACTATTGTGGTGCCACCATGAACCAAATTAGAAGCACATATTGGTAAAGAGTTAAGTGAGCATAAGCATGCTAGAATATATATTCAGCAATCTACACAAATTGAACAAGATATATGTTCATGTTCTATCTATCACCCACAATGTATCGGCAACCCCTTACTTCATCCGAAACATTACAAAAAAAGGAAGAGCTCTGCAATGTTCATCTCGGTGAACTGTTGCTTTGTTTCTCATACTCTCCTGCTACCATTACCGGTTTGTAACTAATTAGCACTTTGTATTTCTATGGATCTTCAGTTTCAGGTGATTCTCCTTAATCATTTGTCCTCCTAAAATCCAGGTGATTCTCCTACTATTGCCGCCACAATAATTTTAAAGAATTGTGCTTAAAAGACTAGAGCTATGGCTTGTATTTTTACTCGATCAAGATGCCATCGCATATATTAAAATCCAGAGAATAATAATAAGGTTTGAGAAGCCTCTTTCAGATTATCGTAAAGCAAATGTACAGAGTAGATTTATTATGGTGAGATTGCTAATGGATTAAATATTGTACATGTTCACTACAGCAATGTCGTAATAAGTTCTTATCTTAATTACAGCTTTTGTTCATGTACTGATGTTTCTGTAGGGTGTTCAGAGTTGCAAACTAAATATTAAAAATGACTGGATACATGGTTCAGGTAAATCCGCTAGCATTTCATCCATATTTTTTCTGGGTTATTTATAGATTTGGTGATGCAGTGGGCTTCAGTATGCTTTGTGATAGAGCTGGCAGCAATGACCATATATCAGGTATTATTCTTAATGTGTGCAGATCCAATGTTTGTTTGGGGAATAGCTTACATTTGTAGTAAACACCACAAAGATAGCATTGTTACCTGACCATGGTAAATCGTTTGTCTATTTCTACAATGTTGGTTGTGGTATACCGACCAATTGTTGGTCGTTAATATTATGTTTTAGCGACCATTGTTCGACGCTATAGATTGGCTGTGGTACAGTGTTCTTACACGCTTCAATGTACTAGTTGTTTAACTTTAACATTTCCGTTAGCAACAATGGAAACGAGTCAAGGCAGGCAAGACTCCTACCACACTCATAGATTTGCTATTTATCAACGCCCTCGTGTCTTGGTGGCGATGCTTGCCTCGTGAGTTCATCAAGTCATTCATCACACAGCAACAGATCTTCACCGGGAATGCTAGCTTGTCCTGCCGGAGTCATCGGAAACTCATCGCCTTCACCTGGAACACCCAGGATACTCACAAGATCAGCATGTTATCATAAGCGAAACATGTATTTAAGTCTTACTGCTTATTGAAACTTTACGCAATTTAAAAAACTTTACTAAAGCAGTATTATTGTTTGTACCAAAATTGAAATGTCATGTTTGTTCCAATGGTGCATACGTCTCTTATGCTAGTAAAAAAGCACTTCCTAACCATATGTGCAATATGGCCTGCTGCTCATTCTCTTATTTAGCATACCTGTCTAAATAACTCTGCATAAATAACTCTGCATGTAGGGAATGCTTTTTATTTTTTATTTCTGTTCTATTTGATTTAGAAGCTTAGTGCTTTGCTCTTTTCTTTTCTTTTCAGCAACAATCATCAGCAATAGCTATGCTATAATTTGTAAGTTCTCTTGTCCAGGTATTACTAGTTCCAGCAATTATCAGACTAAATGTTATTTCTCAAATGATATTGGGTCAACAACTTGCCTTGTCTTTCTATGGATTCAGATTTGAATTTTTTTTTCTGTATTTTGGTATGATCATGACAATTATCTTAAATAATATTTTCAATGGGTGTAGACTTTGGTTGAGTACCAAATAATCAATTTCATCACAATTTGTAAATGAGGAAATGTCGCTAGCTACATCTTGAATACTATAAAGAATAGATTTCATGATCTGAGTACATTTTATAAAATCCTTCAAGGTTTGCAAAGACAACAAATCTTGACTGATATCTCCTCAAACTGTGACCTAAACAAGCATTATCCTTGCCTTTGAATTGCATTGAAAGTAGACGTTATTGATAGGACTGTAAACTATAAAGTCAGTAGTAAGAACTGACTGCTTGCATTTGGTAAATTTAAACTTATTTTATTGCCATATAACAATCTGATTCGAATATGTATGATTCACTTGCAAGGTTGTTAGCTATGTCAAATGGCCTGTTCAGAAACTTATTTTATTTCATTTGCTTGGATTTGGGTTTTGGAACTCGGTGAGGACAGGTGCAAGTCCATCAGTTCTTGTGCTTCTCAGGTTGTGTTGGTCCATCAGTTCTTGTGCTTCTCACTTCTCAGGTTGTGTCGGTAGTTAGCTTGTCTCTGTAATTGCAAAATTACCTCAGTTTCAGTACATGCTTTTCAGTGAAGGCAGAACGAAATAGTTGAAATGGCTTTGCATGTACTTGCAGTTTGGTTTCAAGAGCTAGCAGTTTATAGTTTTGGAGCTTAGTGGATTTTCAAATGCTAATTAGAGCTTTTGTTAGCCTAGGTATTGTTAGATCTATTTAAGCTCATTACTTGGTACTTATTTTCTTTTAGTTCATTATTGGCTACTTATTTTCTTTTGTGCTGTTTGGTTCATTTGCAGGTTAAAGCAAGGAGTAAAGCGAGCAACATGGGAGCTTCAGATTTTTTTAAAAAAAAAATTCAAACTTTGCCGAGTGCCGGCCAGAGGGCACTCGGCAAAGAAATTTTTTTTTAAAAAAAATTGAAACTTTGCCGAGTGCCGGCCAAAGGGCACTCGGCAAAGAATTTTTTTTAAAAAAAATTCAAACTTTGCCGAGTGCCGGCCAGAGGGCACTCGGCAAAGATTTTTTTTTAAAAAAATTGAAACTTTGCCGAGTGCCGGCTAGAGGGCACTCGGCAAAGAATTTAAAAAAAAAATCAAACTTTGCCGAGCGTCGGCCAGTGGGCACTCGGCAAAGAATTTTTTTTTAAAAAAATAAAAAATCTTTGCCGAGTGCCTGCAGGGTTGGCACTTTCGGCAAAAAGCACCAAATCAACGGATTCGCGCGCCACACGGTTGCTTTTCTTTGCCGAGTGCCACCGGGACTCTCGGCAAAGCCTTTGCCGAGTGCCCGATAAAAGACACTCGGCAAAGAGGTCTTTGCCGATTAATTTTTTGCCGTGTGTTCTTTGCCGAGTGCCGCACTCGGCAAAGGCTTTGCCGAGTGCAATTAGGCCTTTGCCGAGTGCCTCAGGCACTCGGTAAAGAACCTGAATCCAGCTGTGTAAGTTATAACCTAAAAAATGGACGGGAGTGGAATACCAGGTAACATTGACATAGAACAGTGTGTGCGTGTGAACAAATGAACCAAAGTTGATCAATTGGGATAGAAAGTAACTCAGATGTAAAAAAGAAGACACATTAGGAATAATTCAACTTCAGAATTTCCATTTGGTGGTTACCACCAAATAGCAAAGTTATAGCTAGACAATCAAACAGATCGAAGGCATGCTAGACAGGTTAAGTTGGAGATAAGGACAGACAAAAACACATAGAAGAATTCACATAAAAGCTTAAAACATATGAGACAAACATTGGTTGTTTGAAAAAATCAAGCATTTGCATGCTACCGCTGCTTTGCTTTTTAGTGTTGAAACTAGTAACCCAGTAAGTATAAGAAGCTGCTCCTAGCAACTTAGGCAGAAACAAGTTCTTAATACGAGGTAGGGGAAACTGCAGTTGTGCACAGAATCACATATTATACTGTTTAACGTTCTGGCATAACTATAATTGTCATCTAAAACACAGAACATACAAAAGGCGCAAAGTAGATATTTTTCTTACATATTAGATGGTGCATCAGGATAAGTGTCTTGTTCCTGCAGGATGGCAAATGAATCAGAAAAAGGAACAGAGGAGGATAGATATAACTGCATCAAATTCAAACCTAATGGAAATACCTCAGAAATGAACTCCCATCTTTCCTTCTTAAGCACTAGTACCTCAACATCACCATCATCATACGAAACCTGAGTGACAAGAGGAAAGGGTCCAAACATCATAATCAGTTTTGTTTAAGAGAAAAATAAGAATTCCATCACTAATAATAGTGTTTCTCATTCAGACAGGCTAAACACTTAAGGAACAAATGAAATGTGAATGGGCACCTTGTGCTTCTTTGAAAAAGAATCGAATGATTCAATGACACCCGCATAGAACCTGCAAATCAAGAAATAATTTCAAAAACCAAACTGCATACTAGCATAACTCATGGAGCAAATATCATTTTCAGCTGTCAACACTGTTATAAAAAAGAAGATTTAAAGAAACAAAAGAAAAACTATAGGTGTAAAGTTCCAACCAGAAGAACAATTCACCAAGCAGATAATATTTATATATAAAAAAGGGACAAATAGCAACCACAATGCAGACTTGGAAGCCTTCGGAAATAGCGACCACAATGCATCCAGAAGGTGGTCAGCAATAAAATATATGCTCACAAATAACCAAATGCTTCACTATAGAAATATCAATGACATTGCGATAGACAAAAAAAACATTGGTGCAAAAAATAATATATACTAACTACTGTAAGAATGCCATTACTGATAAGAAACGCATGTTGATCATCGGACTTACATTTTGTCATCTGGCCACCAAACTTTGATTCTTGAGCCAACAAGGTTTTCATCAAGCATTTTGTTTTTCTTTGATAGAGGGGTCTGCCAACACAACAGAAAAGGTTCTGATAAACTGAAACAGAAATAAGGTCGAAGATAATTCACTGTGTGTCAAGAATGCATACCTCTTGAGCTTCCTGCAAACGTTTCCTTTTTGATGACTCCCCACCATCCTCTTGTTGGCCCTTTGATTTATCGATCCTTGTTGGGGACACCACCTCGAGTAACCGGAGCAGCTCCTCACGGTCCTCCGGGATAGCGCCAAAGCGCTGGCTTACGTCGCGCATCCGCAGCTCAGCCTCAGCCTGCACTTCCTCCGGCGTCATCACAGGGGCTGCACGCAGTGCGTCCTCCGCCATCGTCGGGGCACGGGGTGGAGACCTAACGGGGAGAGGGGTTTAGGGTTTCGGCGAGGGGGCTGGTGGTGACAGGAAGACTAGCGGGGGTAGGGTTTTATAGCCGACGAGGCGCTGGTGGTGGCGACAGCGACGGTGAGGAGGCGTTCGCACTCGACCTCTCCCACCTTCAAATTTTCACGATTCGCCGCCATTCAAATCGTACAATGGGAACATCTGGGTTGGCTGAGGTTGAGCAATGGCTGAGGTGTTGAGGCCCCTTCAACCAGTTCACCAAAAATACCGGCTCCAAAGGCTGCGACGAGGACAGGTCACACAAGTCGGGTTGGCTCTGATTTCGAATTCAAAGGATAATATGGAAGGGAAAACTTGGCGGCAGATAGGGTTCATATACCAGGGTTAATTCAAAAAATGTCTGGGATCATTTGAAAAATATAAGTGTAAATGTTTAAATTGTAGGGTTTAGATGTTTTGTGTAGGGCTTTTAACATTTTTTTCTTTTTGGTTACTTTTATTGTCAATGCTCATTTTGAATAATTTGTTTTTTAATATTTGAATGTGAAGTGTTGGGTTTACATGCTATTTGGATCCTTAGAGCTAACAATTGTACTAGCTGCTAAAAATCTTATGTGATCTCGTTTGATCTCTCTAATTAATATAGTATAGTTAGTATCTTACACAATATCCAACTTACATGTGGTCTGTTTGGATCCATAGCTAATAGTCTAGCTAGTGTCTTACCTACCACCTAGATTAATTCTATCCCATTTAAATCTCTAGCTATTAATCTAGCTAGCATCTTACCTACCATGTAGATTAGCTGTCACATTTGGATCCATAGCTAATATCTTAGCTGTCACATTTCTAGATTCATAGCTTCTACTATGTATCTAGATATAATATATATCCAGGTGCATAGCAAAAGATATGAATTTAGAAAATCCAAAACATCTTATAATTTGGAACAAAGAAGTAGCTGTTAAAAATCTTATGTGATCTCGTTTGATCTCTCAATTAATATAGTCCAGTTAGTATCTTACATAAAATCTAGCTTACATGTGGTCCCGTTTGGATCCATAGCTAATAGTCTAGCTAGTGTCTTACCTACTACCCAGATTAATTCTATCCCATTTAAATCTCTAGCTATTAATCTAGCTAGCATCTTACCTACCACCTAGATTAGCTGTCACATTTGGATCCATAGCTAATATCTTACCTACCACCTAGATTGCATATGGTCCTGTTCAGATCCCTAGCTCATATTCTAGCTAGTGTCTTACCTACCACCCAACTCATATATGCGTATTCCATGAATGATTATAAGAAAAATGATTGTGATATATAATGTCCATGGTTTATGTTCAATCTATTTTGTAGTACTATCTAAAACATTGAATGGCTCTAACTAGCCATATACTTAGTTTTTAGTTTTTTGGTACACGGGAGATGGGATAGGTCGATCCCATTTTGAAGGTTGTTTAGTTTAGGGGCTTGAAGATTGCTTAGTTTAGGTGTAACTAGAGAGGAAGATGCAATAGAAAATTTTTAGATGTGTATTCCATGAATGTTTACGAGGAAAAATGACTGTGATATATAATGACCATAGTTTATGTTCAATCTATTTTGTAGTACTATCTAAAACATTGAATGGCTCTAACTAACCATATATTTAGTTTTTAGTTTTTGGGACATGGAAGATGGGATAGGTGGATCCCATTATGAAGGTTGTTTAGTTTAGGGGAAACTAGGGAGGAGGATGTCTGGCCCTAGTGGGAGGCCGCCCCCTCCCCTCACCACATATCGAGCTGACGGGCTCGTTCCTTGTGAACACCATAGCTCCTCCGTCCGTGCCAAGTACAAGGGTAGGGTGCGGGTTGGCGTGGAAATGTTGAGGGGCTTGAGGCAAGCACAATCATTGAGGTGGGGGCGCCTCAATGACAAGCATGTGGCTTGCAGCATGGGAGTTCCCGAGGTAGGTGACACGCGGTGGGTGGGGTAGGCACAATGAGGGCATGAATGGAGGTAGTTGTGCTAAGAACTGAGCTCAAGCAGGTGGCTTTGCAGAAGTAGCTTCGACGGGTGAGGTAGGAAGGCAGGCCAGAGTGCGGCAATGGTGTATAGAGGATTTGGGAGGAAGAAAATATGTGGACAAGAGATTGTGAGTAGACCCCATGTTTTATGGTGACTGACAATGTGAAAATTGTGTTCATCCCAGTCATCTCTATCAGTCCAACCAAAGAAAAAAATAAGAATGGACTATCCTTTTAAACCAAACGTATAATGGGACCATCACACCCCATATTCAGGGATGAGACTATCTCATTCCAAGACGTTCCCAAACCAAACATGTACCACAATAATAACTATGATGGTTGTGCCAAGGCCCTAGCATTAGCTATAAACATCAATTTTTCATCGTTGAACTCTTAATTCCAGCTCGGGAAAGATTTATGTGATTTTTTAACATTAATGTTGCAAAGACTCTATATGCCACGACTTCATTGTTTCACATGTCTAGTAACTCTAAAAATTCTCTAACATATCCTTTATAGTTGAAACCTGAGCCACCAACTTCTTTATCCTTGCCCCCTTTAGAACATTTTTTGTATCTTATGTGAATGCTGAATGGACATAATGATTCCACACATATAACGGCTAAGTCTAAACAAAGCAAAATATCAAAGATTCCAAAACAACAATAGAGAAATTGAAATAAAGCGCACAAGGAAAATATACTAAGATATGTTGTGCTCCTATGACTGTCACTGTTCTCATTTATCTTGGATGAAAACACTTTCCCTATTTATGAAAACATTTCATGAAAATATAAATAATAGTAATAAAAATAAACTAAGATATGTTGTATCCCTAAACTCATTATATGAAACACATAAATACCTGTGAATTGATCATAGATTAGTTGGTTGGGTTTCTTGTGGTGGAACCTGCCCACCCAGGTTCAAGTCCTCGACTTGACACGGGTGCTTGAATTTTCCTGGATTTATTTCAGGATTTAACGGCGCTATGCTTTCAGTTGTAGGCGATGCCCCCGTCAACAGCAAGACGTCTGTGATGACTTCGTGAATCTTCGTGAATCTTAAGATCTACCAGCTCAATCCTTCGGAGGAGCTCATAGGGGTAGGGCTTGCGTACATGTGTTCATAGGGGTGAGTGTGCGTGCGTGTTGTGGGCGTCTAGTTGTACTGTGTAATTATAAAAAAAACACATAAATACGTAATAACCATACCCTCCCTTACTCGTCTATCTTAGAACTTCAAATGATGCATCGAAATCATCAATAATCACACTCACATTAAAAAATAAATCACAGTTGTATATATGTTTGCTTCTTTTCATTTTACAGTGATGCCAACAGTCGATCAAGTAATATGTAGACATGAAAAAGGAGTTACATGATGACCAACAAAAATAAATTGCATACATGTTTTCTTAACAAAATTGACATAGTATATGTAAATTTTTATATGTATGCATGAAATAAGTGTAGTGTGCCTTTGCACAACGATAACAATGTGAAATGTATAAAAAACATGACTCACTGTTTTTAGCTTGATGAGCTGATGAAATTAGTGTTGTACTCCATCTACTTCTTGAAAGGGGAACAAGAAATAACATGAACCAAAATGAATCCAAATGTATCAACTGTTATAAAGGTCATGTCAAAAATTTGTGGAACTATTTTGTAGATTGCTTACAACTCTTCCTAGCTACCACTTTTTAAACCCCTCCTTAAAAAGGCTTAGTATCCATTATAGTGTCTCTTGCATTGCGACATATATTTACTTCAAATCTTCATGAATTTTTTACAATCCTAATAGAAGGATCTCTTTTCATACTGAGAAACCACATAAAGAAAAAAAAGATAATCCCTGAATTTTGTGAATTGCTTGTGGCATATAGGGGCTATTTGGTTACGGGCCACAACCTGCCACGCTTGATGTGTGGCGACGCCATGGCTATGGTGTTGAAAACCAATGCCACACTCTGTCAAACAACCTCATATATCTCATCATACCGATAGGCAGGTAACATGGTCGAGCATCTTAGCCACCAAATAGGCAAGATCAGTATAGTCCCATGATTCGCAAACCTCTCATGGCACCATCGAACCATTCCTCCCAACTACAATGACCTAACATCAATATTTAGGTCTCCTTTTTTGTTGTGTTTAATTCGCTATTAGAGCGCACATCACTAGCTAACCATTTCGAGTAGAAAATAGACATAGAATGAAAGAAATCACTCACATATGGTGGAACAAAGAAGAAGATGAAGACTTGCGTATGGCGGCGGACCGGATGGCAGTAGGTAAGGTGTTGTGTATGCCTATTATATATGGGTTGGTAGGCGGCTATATATATAGAGTAGGGTTGCGAAATAATGAGTGGGCTTCTAGGGTTCGGTCGTAGCTTTGGGCCAGTTTATCCGGCCCAGATGACCTTTTAATCTTTGGCCCAAGCCTCACCCACTTGCTATATGCCTTTTCATACTCAACTCCCAAATGTTTTAGATTGCATCTTTCACTGGCAGTCCAATTTGGACCTAGCCACTTCCTATTTTTGACTCCTCGTGGCACGGTGAGCGAATATGTGCTCATGCGTACTACCAAACACATTTTTTTTATTACCCCATGTAAATAAGATGGGGGTTTCTTATACTGTGCGACCAAGAAAAATAAAGTTTTAAAATAGCATACACTCACCATTAATATGAATCCTACTCCCACAGTCCTAAAATGTAATCTAGTTTTATCATAGATAAAACTTCTCTATTTTGGACTGACACCGTAACATATAAAATTGTAAGTACAATCAAGCCCTAATGTGGATTTTGGTGATAATGACTACATAATTAGAGGACTAATGAGATTTATTGAGTTGACAAGCAGGTGAGAAAACAATGAGGATGCTAAATAAAATGGTGGACCCTCTAATTACAAATAGTAGCGGTATTGGACTCACTAAAGGTTTAGATTCATTTTA